AATTTAACTCTGTGCCTATATTGACTATATATAAAGTAATTATCTTGAATCCTCCGCGATTGTTGCTATGGGCGCACGCATGGGACGTCCCGGCGGTCCCTGCGTTTTTAAAGTAAACGCGGGGCCGCAGGGACTTAATAGAGGCATCCCTGTGTCCCGAAAGCAACTTTCGGGACACAGTCAGAGATGTCCTGAGGCAAAAACACCCGGCGGGTATTTTTCCCACGGCACACCTTACACTATGTCACGGCACACTAGTGTGCCGCGGCACAGTGGTTGAAAAACACTGCACTAGACCTACCCAGTTCCTGCAACCATTCTTCATATGTTTTAGCCTCCAGTCCCCTAATCATCATCTGTTGCTCTTCTCTGTACTCTTTCTAGAGTCTCCACATCTCCACATTACTGACCCATAGACCCTCCACAGCATCCCTGGAGCTAGGCCTTCCCAGAGGAATGGATATTTTATTGACCAGGCTTAAAAGTCTGCCTCTCCATTTTCACAGTTTGGAGCAGGGGTCTCCAACCTGGTCCATTTTAAGACTTATGGACTTCAACTCTGGGAGTTGAAGTCCACAAGTCTTAAAAGTGGACCAGGTTGGAGACCCCCTGGTTTGGAGGATAGCAATAGCAATAGCAGTTAGATTTATATACCGCTTCATAGGGCTTTCAGCCCTCTCTAAGCAGTTTACAGAGTCAGTATATTGCCCCCAACGTGACAGCAGGCGGGGGTTTTAAGTGCCAAACCGGCAGCGGGGTATCAAGCCCAACCTCGGGCAGGAAAGCTCACCTGCGCTTCAGGCCGGATCCTCTCCTTCCACCCGGCCTACCTCACAGGGCGGTGGGTGCCCTGGGGGTAAAGCAGGAGTTGCCGGCGTGCGCGCCCCGCAGCATCTCGTCGACTTCCCGGCGAAAAGGCGGGAGGCGAATCTAGCAAGCAGAAAGAATCAGCAAAGGAGCACCTGATTCTCCCCCTCAGGAAACGCAAACCCAAGGAAATTGGGTGGGCAAATTTACCGGCCGGAGAGGAGCTGGACTCGTTAGAGGCTGACAGAAAGAGCCCTGGGACGGCTGGCACCCCAGCCCGCCACAGAACCGGAGACCCGCGGGCTCTCCTCGCACCTCAGTATCCCCACCCACCCCCCTCGAGCCCCTCACCGCAACCCCGGACAGACTCGGGAGAGTCGATTTAGGCCTCTCGGGCCTAACTTTGACAGGGAACCCCCCCCCACCCCGCGGTTGCCACGGCGACGGAGCGCTTCCTCCGGCGCGAGCTCAGCCGCGATTGGCCCCGGCCGCGCCACGTGACCGCGGTCGCGTGAGCCCGCTTGACAGAGCCCGGCCGAGCCGCCTGAGGGGGCCGCCGGGCACGCGCGTGTGTGGTGGCGGGATGGCGGCCGGCGAGGCTGCGGCGGGCTCGGGGCTCGACGGCGCCGCATGAGAGGCGCGCCCGGAGACCCTGCGGGGTCGGCGCGGCTGGGAAAAAGCCGGAGCGCGTCGGGACGGGAGGGGAGTTTTTAGTCAGTCAGGCGCTGCGAAAGTGGAGGAGGGAGGGAGGGAAAGGGACCCCCCCGGTCCGAGCCATGGCGAACCCGCTGCGGCCGCCTCGGGAGCTCCCTCAGCCGGGCAGGCGGCGAGCGGCCTCGCGGCGCGGCTGAAGCTCCCCCCCAGCGCGGCTCCTGACGGGGGACAAGAGGCCCTCCGCAGAGCCGCCTTTCGCTCGCCGCCCACCCCCCCCCTCCGAGGGAGGAGACTCGCCGCCGCCGCCGCCGAGCAGGAGAAGCAAGAGGCGGGCGACTCAGCGCGATGAGGTGGTGACGCCTCCCGGGAGGGCAAAAGAAGTCGCGGCTGGGGAGTGGGAAGAGGAGCAGAGAAGGACGACTCTAAGCTGAGGCGATCTCTGAAGAGGGAGGGGACAGGGGAGGGGACCCTCTCGGGCCCCTCAACGGGGGATTTTGGAGGGGGGCGCCCGTTGCTGGGCAGACCTGAGACCCTGAGCCTCTTCCCCCCCCCTCCTCTCTCTCCCCTCCCCGGGGGGCTCCTTTTCTCCCCTCTCCCCGCCGCCAGGACTCCCTCCAGGCAGGCCCTCCGCTCCGTTCAGACGTGTCTGGGTTTGCTCGGGGTCAGCCTGGCTTCCGGACACGGGTGTTGTTGTGGTGGTGAGGGGGAGATGTTTTCCTCCTCCTGCTGCCGGGATTAAGCGGCGACTCGCCTTGTTTGTTCCTCCGGGCGCTTGCGCCCTCCCCGCTGGCCTTTGATGACGAGCCGCCGCTCTTGCTAGACGGCCCCGTTTGATGGGGAAAAAAAAAAAAGGATGGTTTAGGCTAGACGCGAGTCAGGGACTCCGAGGAGGAGGAGGAGGAGGGGGAGGTCGGCGCCTGGGAGGCCTCCTCCCGGCGGGCGGGTGGTAGAACAGGTAAAACGCCATGGACTCCAGGCTGGGGTGACACTGCCCGAAGGAGACTCGGGGCTTCTTTTGGGAGCCTTTTAATTGGGGTGCGAGGGTGAGTGCAGAAAAGGGGAGGGGGGTTAGCTTTTGTTGCCTTGAGCTTTTGGCCCCGGCAGGTTTATAAATAGTTCGGTTCAGACGCCGTGTCAAAGGAGGACACCCTGGCAAGGGAGGCAAGCCAGTTCCACCGAGAGAGAGAGAGAGAGAGAGAGAGAGAAGCAGACACCCTGCTTTTAGCTTCTCCCCCTCCATCCAACTGCTGTTGCCACCACACAATGAATGCCAGGAGGAGGAGGAGGAGGAGGAGGTCTGGACGCTACCGATTCTTGTAAGCCGCCAAGGAGAGAGAAAAAAAGCTGGATCCCCTCCCTCCCTTTCTTTTGGGGACACCGACCTCCCCAGGGAAGAGGAAGACAACAGGAGGAATCTGGTGGTGAGAGAAGCCACATCAGGGCGGAAGGAAGAAAAACAGCTGGGGAAGCCGAAGGACTCTTTTTTTTTTTTTTTTGGCTGGGACCCGAGAAAAGGGGGAAGAGAAGATTGGCGTGAAAATGAAGCCGGATCGAGGTAAATGAGTTTCTGAAAAGCAGTTCCCTTTCTGTTGTTTTATTGTTGGGCAAGTGGCTTTGTGATGTACAGCAGTGTTGTTGGGAAATGGTTGGATTGAGGTCCTAAGTCTAAAAAGAAACAAGAGGGGGAGGGATTTGGAAAGGATCAGGAAGGATTAAAACCTGGAGCTGATCATTAGGATATTGTTCTAACATGTTTTTGTTTAAGGCTGTTGAATGAACTTAAGATTACTTCAAGAGCTGAGATATGGGAACTCGCTATAGAAAACACCTCTTGCCTTCTTGGAGAGTGTAATTTTAAATGTTACAGAAGTGTTTTTCTTAAGTTATTACCATATAATAAAGAAAATAAAATAATATTTCTTATAATCAGGAATTAAGTAGCCAAACCATCTCCATGTAATGCACAAAAGATGTAGCCGGAAACTAATGGAAAAAAAGCTAAAGCCTATTTAAATTCCTGTAAACAATTCTGGCAGGTTTTTTTTCAGTTTCATCCCTAACTGTGTTTAGAAATAAGCTCAGTAGGACAAATAAGCACAAAATCAGAATTCATACCGCTGTTCTAAGCAATTCCTTATCATTAATTAAATCATGACTGCTAATGTAAAAAAAAGCTATTAAGGATTTACTGCTGGGTATCTATTAAGCGGACTGAAAAATATTTTTAGGTAACAACATATAGTAATTCTTAGAACTCGGCAATTGGTTGAATTGAGATTTACATTGTCAATTTAATAATACCCCACATTGGAGCAAAGGGCTGTCTCAACATTTGCTTTAATGTACATTTGTTATTTAGAACCTTAAGCTATCTATGGCAGGATTCACATAAGCTATTATGTGCTTGTTTATGTGGTTTTAGCTCTTACTAAATTGTGATTTATGGTTTAGAATGTTGTGTCAAGTTAGTTAATTATAGTTTGTTCAATAACAAGCTGATTAAACAAACTGGCTTAGCACAGTATTTGAATTCAGGTGCTCAACAGCTTCAATTAGAATACCACAGATGCTGAGAAATTTTAAAATACAAAAGTAGTTTTTTTTTAAAGTATTTCTACAATTGTTTAAGGAGATGGGATTCAAGTAAAACTGTTTTTGGCTGCTTGGAAATTAAAAGAAGTGACATGGATGTGGGTACAAGTGAACATGACATTTTAAAATATATGCTAAATCTGGGTTAATCTGATTTATACTAATATTTAGAACTACTTAAATCTGGGATGTAAACATCTTGTCAGCTATTAGATGGCAGCAAAAGATAAACAAATGTCTCTTCGCTGCCAACTGGTGGCCCTATGGATTTTTTCAGCCTGCTTGTGTAACCTGCAAAGTGTCCCTTAGTATTGCAGCCTAAGGTCCCTGTAGGAACAAAATAAAGTATAAAATATACACTGATATATCGCTGGAAGTTCAACATGTAATTCCTTTCATAGTACAGAAGCTTGATGCATATTCATAGTTTTAATAATGCACAGCTGTGAGGCAAATGACCTTTTATAATTAAATACCTCCAAAGTAGTCTATGTAAAGCAGTAAGTTAAAAATTCTTCTGGAAAATAAATATTTAGCATATTATTCAAAGAGCTTAATATGCGTAAGATGTATTTTAATTTACTTTTTTTCAAAAGCAGATTCAGCCATAGGAAGAATTGTGTTTATTTAATTTAACAATGTGACTGCTTCACATCAACCACAGGGGGTTAAAAGTGTGGCCTAAGTGCTACATTTAATATTGAGATACTCTTAGGAGGCACAATCATGCAAATGTTTGTTTGCCTTGTTTTCTGCAAAGCAGCTGCACTACAGGCAAATCACTCAAGTGTGCTATCAAGTGCTTTCATTAGTCGAAAATTAATAGTGAAGGATGCAGGATGAGCAGGGCTTTAAATTGAAGTATAATCTGTTTAATATCAGACTAACAGGAATAAGAAGTACTGTATCAATCTGTAAATGAGATTTTTGTTGTTGTCTGTGTTAATATATGGGACCTTAGTGATTAATAGCTGCATTGGATTAGACCCAGATTTAATACTAATTAGAATAGGCCTACTGAGGTAATGGAACTTAAATAGAGGACAAACAAGTCAGCAAACCAGCTGATGATGGATGATAAGTTAGATACAAGACTTAGGCGTGTGTAGAGCTCTTGTGTGGAAGGGTGCTAAGGCAAATGGTGCCAGTGCTGAGTATTTCTAAGTTTCCCTTAGACTTCAGTGAGTGGAAGTGACACCAGATGTTTAAAGGTTGAGTAAAAATAAATATTACTGCACTTTGGTTCTCCAAAAAAACGAGACACAGCATTTTGCCATTGTATTGACCGTGAGGCTGTAATATTTAAAGGGCAGAAAATGTAAATATACACATGTGGGAACTGTGATTCTGAGAATATTTGTTTTCAAGGACGGAAGGAAAAAAAAAGTTTAGTATATTACAGAAATGAATAGGTTTTGTAGCTTCTAAATATGTAGTACTTTCAATTGATTTAAGAGAAAATACTTTTAGGATTGGGCATACACGAGATTATTGTTTGATTGATATGCAGATGTTTTGAAGAAATCCTTGGGAGCTTGAAAAAAGATGAGACCACTTTCATAAATAACTGGAAGGTGCTAGGTTTGTACTTCCAAAATGCTTCTTTCAGATAGTTTTCACATTGTGATTCTTCTGTGTTACCTTCTAGAATTTCCCTGCTGATTTATTTTGTCCAATTCTTACAATGCATCATTTTTTAAATACCCAGTTAAGAGTGTTCTACTGTTAGAATAATATGAATAATATCCTATTAACTGCCTAATGCAACATAAATTTCATATTGGAAAAATACAGATTACAAAACATTGAGCTACAGAAAGTGCTGAGATATATAGAGAGAAAACAACCCTTGCCACTCCTTACTTTCTTAGCAAGGAGTAGGAGATTCCAGATCCAGCAGCCCTATTCAGATTTCAAGGTAAGCTGAAAGGGTATGTTTGTTCTCGACTTACAATAAGTACATCAGAAATCCTGTCTTTGCACACTCTGCTAAACAAACTATGGATGGATCCGACCTTATTTGTTTTCCTCCCAAAGAAAAGTAGGGGCAATCCTGTTTATTTAGTAGGAAGCTACAATTTGTTTCAGTTCTGGTTTACCAGGATATGTATTTGAAGGCAACTAGAGGAAAGTATTTCCCAGTGCAGGCCCTTAAGGTTAATTTTCACAGAAAGGGATGCTGGGTTTGATTCTGGGAGATGAATAATAAACACAAGTGTATGAGTGGTAGATGATGGACTTCCTGTTGAGCAGGCAACATTTCTGTAAAGACCTGTGCTTCTAGTTAGAGATGCCGCAGGTATATATGCAAGGAGGAGACAGCACACTGGAAATGATGCTGTTTCCTGTTGTAGTAGGGAAGCTGTTTTTCTGGCTCTGGAATTGTACTGAGAAATAAATATAGAGGAAAGATCCGTGATGTAGGTTTACTTTTATAGGAAATGAGGTAGATTATGCAAGAGAGATTTTAGACTATTAAGTCCCATGGTAATACACTTTCCAGCTAGTAATACAACTTTGTAGTTGTTTAACAGTTGTGCCTTCACACAGGAGCATCTGCCATTGTTATCTGTGACTCTTTGACCTTGACTTGGTGTTTCACTTTTTTTCCTGGATTATCTGAGGACTAATATCCATTGTGTGCCACATCGTCTACCATGAATTGACTTTTTTGTTCAGTGGACAAATGTCTGTTTTCCTAACCAAAATACATTAATGGAATATACTGCATATTGAACTCTGAATTTGTGTTGTATGTGAAAAGGAGCAATTACAATTAAAAATGGTTGATGATATTGAGCACTAGTGTTGAGTTTTGAGAATGATATCTGATCTGATATGTTTTTCCTAGTTATTTGCATTTCCTCCTCGGTTTTGCCCTTTTTATGGGGTCACACTGACACTGTACTAAGGTTAAAAATTGTTTTGCCCTGTGATGCGTTATCTTGTGCTTATTACATACCATTACCAAATATTGTAAGTCACTCCCTGCAGGCATTGTTGTGTTGGCAACCTGGATGTTTGTCTTCTGATTCATTTTTTACATTATTTATTTAAACTCTATTGTCTTGGATAAAAATGCATTTCAAAAGCAGTTGTCTTCTTTCTGAAAACTTAGCTCTAATATAAATGCCTATTAACTTCAAATAAATTGGCAGCATAGATGTAAATTCTAGAGTGTCATCGCGCATCTCATATGTTTAAGATCTGAAATGATAGCTTTTAGTCTATCATTTACATGAAAATGAGTTTTATAAACTACAATGTTTATTTTTTAAAACAGTTTAGATAATCTAAATGTAGTGCCATGCTGTGAACATTGGAAGCCGGTTCCAGGATAAAGAAGAAGAAAAGATTTATTGTAAAGTTTGGAGTCAGACATGTTCAAGAATACAATGACAAAAGCACCATATTTTAGTTTTGTATGATTTTTTTTGTAGCTTTCCTGAATCCTGAAGTCAGATGTGTTGTGTTGGGGTACAACCCTTGGGGTTCACTGCTACTGTAGTCAGCTGTAGATGAATGTACAGGTAGTCCTGGACTTACAACCACAATTGAACACAAAATTTATTTTGCTCAACGAGCATTGTTCAGTGAGTTTTGCCCCATTTTATGACCTTCCTTGCCGCAGTTGTTAAGTGAATCACTGAAGTTATTAAATTAGTAACACAGTTGCAAAGTGAATATGCCTTCCCCATTGACTTTGCTTGTCAGGTCACAAAAGGTGATCAGATGACCCCAGGATACTGCAACTGTCATAAATATGAGTGAGTTGCCAAGATTGAATTTTGATCACATGACCATGGGGATGCTGCAACAGTCGTAAGTGTGAAAAATAGCTGTAAGTCACTATTTTCAGTCCTGTTATAACTTTGAATGCTCACTAAATTAACTGTAAGTCAACAACCACCTGTATCTAGAGAACATTAGGTTGGGCAAGTTGATCTAAAGCAGTATTTCTCA